CCCAGCCTGGGGCTCTGCCATATAAGGCAACCCAGGACCACTCTGCAGGGGGCCGATATCAGTGGCAGAGCTCTGGATCAAGGGTGACATTTCTAACGTTCTTATGAAATCTGCAAATGCCTCTGAAGGTACGTAACCATAGAATTTCAGAGCTGGAGGGTCTCCGAGAAGTGTAATCCCTTCAAGTAGAGTTAGGGACATTGAGCCTCGGGAAAGGTAGACTGTATGAGGGATCATTTCCCCCCCCAAACTATCTCTTCCTATCCTTAACAAGAAAGCCCCTTGAACTTTATCAGGAGGAGGAAGCAGGTCCCAACCTAGTAAAATATGCCTCCCCAGTCCAGGACCGTCCACCTCCCCCATCATCATATCAGACAAGCTTTTCTGAGCGACCCATCAGCTTTGGAAAAAAAAAAAAAAAAGGCTCTCCTGTTCAAAGCAATTCCAGGATCTTAAAAAGCAGGAAGGGACACCAGAGATCAACTAGTCCAACTTTCTGCCCAAACCAGAAACTCCTTCTGGCAAGACTCCCAGATCTCTATCTCTACCCAAATGTTTTCTTAGACTCCAGTCTCCTTCTGCCACTTATCTGCTCTGGGAGGTCTCACTGTCTCCAAGGCCCAGGGGTTTACCCTACACCTCAACCTGCAAGCCGCCTCCTCCCCAGCAAATGCAAGCGCCATCCTTCAGGTTCTTCAGGCCAAAGACCACGGAGCTGTTCTTGCTTCCTCTGTGTCTTTCACAACCCACATCCAACCTATCAGGAAAGCCTGTTTGTTGGATCCCCACTTCAAGATATGTTCCCAAATGTGACTACTAATTTCTTTATGGCTAGGACTCTAGTCCAAGCCCCACCACCTGTTCCAGAATTGGCCTCCTACTGGGTCTCCTTGCTTCCAACTGTGAGCCTCCCACTCTGTCCCCAACAAGTAGTTAGGGCAGATTTAAAAAAAAAAAAAATCTAAGATCACATGCTTTGATCAAAATTTACCAGTGGCTCCCCATTTCACTCAGAATAAAAGCCATGGTTCTATAATGGCTCACAAAAACCCACACAATCTATTTTTCTCAACCCAGTTACCTCTCCTGACTCCATCTCCTGCTCCTCCTTGCTCATTTACCCTGCTGCAGCCTCACTGGTTGTTCTAGAACTTGCCTAACCTGCTCCTGCCTTAAGACCTTCACAATGGCTGTTCCTCCACCTGACACACTGTTCCCCCAAGATAGCCACCTTGGCTAGAAATTTTTTTCCCTGTCCCCTTCATCCTTGTGCCCCACCCTATTCTTTAGTATTTTTCCCAACACTTAGGACCTTTTAATATACTATTTAATTTACTTCATTTTTGCTTTTTCTTGTCTCATATTATAGCACTGGGGATTGAGCTCCAGGCTTCATGAATGATAGGCAAGTACTATACTAGTAAGCTTTTTATTTTTTAATCTCAGCCCATTTTATTTTTTATTTAAAAAATTTTTTTTTTCGTTTTCCCCACCTTTATTTTGTTTATTTATATGTGATGCTGAGAATCGAACCTAGTGCCTCCTCACACATGCTAGGCTAGCGCCCTACCACTGAGCTACAACCCAGACCCTTATTTTTCATTTTGAGAAAGAGTCTCACTAAGTTACCCAAGCTGGCCTCGAATTTGCCATCCTCCTGCCTCAGCCTCCTGGGTAGCTGGGGTTAAAGGTGTGCACTACCGCTTTATTTCTTTAGTATTTATTTATTTATTGGGTACCAGGGATTGAACTCAGGGACACTAGACTACTGAGCCACATTCCCAGCCCTATTTTGTATTTTATTAGAGATAGGGCTCACTGAGTTGCTTACTGTCTCCCTAAATTGCTGAGGCTAGCTTTGAACTCAAGATCCTCCTGCCTCAGCCTCCTGAGCTGCTGGGATTACAGGCGTGCGCCCCTGGGCTCGGCTTCTTTAGTATACTTATTGCTTTGTTTATTTTCTTCCACTGGAATGGAAGCCCAGTGAAAGTAGAGATTTTTGTCAGTTTTGTTCCCAAACATATCTCTAGAGTTTGGATACTATGCTGCAAGCCCTCAGCAAATACATAGTTAGGGAATGAAGGAACGAACACTGTATGTAGACGATTGCTTATCAAGCAGAATCCTGAGTCCCAGAGGCCTTGGCATTGGTTTTGTTCTAAGCCAGGGCCTGTATCCTTTTCCAGAAATCCACCCCTGTCATCTGTGTTCTGGTTCCCACCTTCCACCCACTTCTGCTTTAGAAACCCAGGGGGCTGGACGGGGCAGAGGGAAAAGTCAAGGGGCCATCTTGATAGTGGGGACATACTAGCATGTCACCAGAGTTCACTCCTTCCACCCGGAGAAGACTGGAAACTCCCTGGTGAGGGGGTTTCCACTCAAGGACAGTTTGGTCTTGCCTCTGGAAAGGGCTGAGAACAGGGAGAGTTCAGAAGGCCTCTCCTATCTCCCAAACTTGCCCTCCCCCATGGTTGTCTGGGTTTTTCACATTCCCGAAGCGCTGATGTGGCACTAAATATTCCCGCAGTCCAGGCCTTCTCCCCCGGGGGCCCAGCGTCATTGTGAGCTGAGCCTGCTTTCTGGAATGTTTTTGGTATGAAGTATCCTGGCAGGTGAGGGAAAGGGCCTTGCAGAGGGGACCCAGGCCCCCAAATCTAGGCCTCTTTGGAGTGGATATCAGAGAGATACTCCTTTCCCACCCAGATTCTCCCTAGCCAGCAGGCTTCTCCCACAGGTACCCGACTCATCCCACCTACCCTGCAGCCCTGCCCTGGCTTCCGGGAGGTTAAGCAAACAGACCAAGATCTTGGGACCAAACACCTTTGCCTGGCCTTTCTGTCCCCCAGACTCCCAATCTCCCCCAGGACCTGCTGAGACAGTGCTGATGGAAAGGATTTTTCAGGGCTGTGTCTTCTCCATCCCCTTCATCCCAAAACATGGTTTACCACCAGGTATAGGCCCTCCCTGCTCAGTGACTTCTTCTTTTCTTCCTGCCCTCCCTCTTTAGCTTCTCCCTGTTCCCACCGCCCCCCCCCTCCTTTCCTAGTTCCTTCTCTGGGCTTGTGGAGACCAGGGGAGGGCGTTTCCAGTAGAGGGAATTGCTACTTTCCTTATTCCTGGCAAAGAGCTTGGCATGTAATAGATGCTCAATAAATATTTTTCCATTCACTACTTTCACTCAGTTCTCCAAATCCAGTCCTGTTCTGATGAGCCTCTCTACCCACAGACTTGGCATCTCACAGATCTGAGCTTGAGATCTGGTTTTCCCACTTGCTAGCTAGGCGGGTTATTGAATGCTTTTAAGTCTCCGTTTCTTCCGTAAACAGAGAATGATAAAAATTGTAGCACACCGAGAAGACTGCAACAAGGCTACATGTACATGAAATGAGGCCACACAGATAATATGCCTGATATGTAAGCATTTAATATACGGTAGCCCCTATTATCTCCCACGATGCAATTCTTCTTTCCCTCAACTGAACTCCACTTCAGCATAATCTGGACAGTTCCTCACCGAGTTTAACTTATTGTGCTACCTTGCCCTCCAGTCTGCAACCTCCTCCAGGCTGAGGTCTTTAATTGTTGCACTAGCGAGGCAGCAGGCACCTGTCTTCCACAGAGCTTGGTGCACAGCACAGCTTGAGTGGAGTAAATAAATGCACACTGCTAACACCACCGCAGAACGCTATGCTTCTTCAGGGTAAAGATCCACCCCTGTATTTTTCCAGTGTTTACCCAGAGCCTAGCCCAGAGTTCCAGTACTCAGTAGGATGGACCTCTAGAGATTTCACAGCTAAATAGCCCAGCCGTCACCCAAGCAATTTCTTGTTTGTGTCTTGATCCCATCCATCCTTGCCTGCTCTCTCTTCCCCAGACTCAGTGATCTTCCCAGCCTTCCAGGTATAGAGAATGAAGCTCGGAGACTCTGCACCAGACAGCAGCTCCTGCCAGGGACAGGTGGGGGTGGACCGGGGAGCTGGAACTGGCCAGAACCGGGGATATTTGGGGGCTGTGAATACCCAAACAGGTCAGGGAAGGGGGCCAGCTTAGAGCCAGAGCCAGCCAGCAGCCAGCCTGCCCTTTGTCCTCATCCTCCCTTTCATCCCCAGTTCTTAGAGCCCGGGAGTTTCTCAATGGAGCAGGCGTGCAGGGAATGCTCTGCAGGGGGTAGGGGGGGCCGGCCTGTGGGGGGTGGACATTCCAGGCATTCTTTACTTCCTCCAGGAGTCTGGGGTGGGGGCGGAGGGAGGAGAAGCTGCTCTGCACTGAAGGAAAGGGGATTTCTTTGGAAGAAGAGAAAATAGAGTGTGTGGTGGTGTCTTGAAGCAGCAGGGGGCAGGGTGTCAAGCAGATGGGAGAGGGGCGGGAGGAGGCGGAGAGAGGGTGGGGGTGGGGCTGGGTAATCTGCAGACCAGTTCTTCCTTTAGAACTGCAGGTGGGAAGAGCACTCTGGGAGTTCCAGCCCAGGGCTTTCCCACTTTGTTAATAGAGTGGGGCGAGAGCTGCTGGTGCAGAAGTACTGGAGATTTGGGAAGCTTAAAGCCTGGGAGTTATTTATTTAATTTAATTTTTTTTTTTGTACCAGAGATTGAACTCTGGGGCACTGGACCGCAGAGCCACATCCACAGCCCTATTTTGTATTTTATTTAGAGACAGGCTCTCACTGAGTTGCTTAGCGCCTTGCTTTTGCTGAGGCTGGCTTTGAACTCTTGATCCTCCTGCCTTAGCCTCCTGAGCTGCTGGGATTATAGGCATGTGTGTCACCACACCCAGCTATTCTGTTTATTATTATCATTATTTTGTGGTGCTGAGGATCTTGTGTGCATGCCAAGGCAAGTACTGGGACACTGAGTCACACCCCCAGCCATTTGGTTCTGTTTGGATCAAGCAGTTTCTCTATGTCCCACCCCTCGTTCGCAACCCAGGGAGTACTTGTATTAAGAGAAGGCTGGGAGATCTGTTCCTCACCCCCATGTCCCCAAATAGAACAACAGGGGCTGTTTTCCATTCATCATCTTGGTTTTAATGGAGTGTTTTTTTCTGGCCACAGAGGAGGGGAGACAGCACGGGGTGTGGAGTGAAGGGACTCATCTCCAGACAGTGCAAGCAACAGAACTTGTGGGTGTATCAAAGGACCCCCTCCCCTGATCTGTGGGGCATCATTGCAAACACACCTCTCAGTACCGGAAGTTTAGATGGCATGATGGATTTCCCCAGAACATGGCATTCACATTATTGTAAAAAGCAAAATTCACTTAAAAAAAAAATACAACAGAGTTGAGAACAGAAAAATAAATAAGGACATTCTAGGTCCCGAAAGTCCAGAGAAACAGAGGCATCCATAACCTAGACTTCCAGAGCAGCTTGGAGGCAGAAGTTCCAGTCTGTGAGGTCTCAGGTGGGGTCCAGAGGAGTCTGGGCCCCTTGAGATGAAGTTGAGCAGTGGCCTGAGCCTTTTCAAGTCTTTTAAGATTCATAGCAGCGACTCTGGGAGGCTCAGGCCAGGTTTGGAGGATGGAAAAGGGAAGAGAACCTTTGAGGAACCATTTAGGAAACAGAGGCTGTGTTCTCTTACTCCTAGATAAATAAGGGAGGGTTACTCCAGATCACTCCCAGGATTCCCCGGGTACTTTAGAGGTACCACATTCTAGCCCCAGAGGTCGATGGGGATTCAAACTTGTGTGAAGATGGTCCATCCCCACCTTGACAGGTGAAAGGCACCACACCTCAAGCTTCCTCATGGCAACGAAGAGGACAGAAGCTGTTGAAGGACTCTTTCCAGGTCTCTGCAGCCCCATCATGGGCACAAGATGCAGGTAACCCAGACTCCGACTCAGTCCTTCCCTCTCTGCTTCTCTACTCTTCCCCTGCTATTATTTTCCAGGGTCATGGGGTAGAAGACAGTGAACTCTTGATGCATTCCTGTGCCCACTTCTCCCCTCTAGCCCTCCCAACCACCTCAGTCTTCTGAGCTGGGGTGCTGGCCCTGGGAGGCAGGGAGAAGGCGCTCCCTGCTCAGGGTGCAGCCAGCTGTATCTTAGCGCCTGCCCGGGCTGGGGCAATGCACGCTGCCCCTCAGCTGAGCTTTGAGCAGACTCCCAGTGACTGTGGGTAGGTCTGTGTCACCTCCTGGCAGTCTGACAGGGAAAAGCAGCTATCGCCCAAGGAGTCCTGCCGCCAGCGCCTCAGGCAGCTGCCAGGCCCCTCTGAGCGAGACTGCTCAAGTCCCATGAGGTTGTCCACAGACACACATCCCCGCAGCGGGGGCTCGGGGAGTCGATCAGGCAGGTCTAGTTGGTCAAAAGACTCAGAGGACAGGATGCTGTCTTCACTCACAGCACCCAAGGGGCGGCTGGCTCGGGCTGGCGGCGGAGGGGCGGACAGTTCATCCAGAGAGCCAAAGGCAGTGGGGGGCTTCAGTTCGGAGGCCATGCGGGAGAACTTGCCGTTGAGTTTGAGGATGCCCTTGCGATGGAGGAGCAGCCCTGAGGCTTCAGAGGACTTCGGCTCCACGGGGTCCCCACTCATGAACACATCACCTGCATCCAAGAGCTCTCCAGACTCACTGGGCTCTGGGGAGGAGTAGTAGCCAGACTCGCGCTGCCGAGGCTTCTTGAGGATGCCCCTCCTGGGGAGCAGGGGCGCCATGTGCCCTGGGCCATCGGCCACTGAGCTGAACTCCTGAGGGTCCTCCCTGGCCCCCTCTGAGGCTGACGCCTTCTTCTTGAGAATGCCCTTGGGCAGCTTGAGGTTGCTCTTGCCAGGGCGAGGGGAAGTGTCATCGGCAGGGTCCCCCTGGAGAGACTGGGCCATGTCATTCTCCTTGCGGGACTTCTTGAGTGAATGCTGGCGCTCTAGGCTTGGTGTGGCGCTGCCGCCAGGCGTGTGCTGCTTGAAGAAGCTGCACACCTTGGCCCCATTCTCCAGGAAGGGGCGGGAGGATCGGCGGAGCCAGTCAGCCATGGAGGCCCGGGCGGAGTCGCTGCTTGTGTGCCCACCTTCACGCAGTGCCTCCTGCTCCCCCACTCGGGTGGCATAGCCCCAGTTGACCCACCAGTGACTGGCCACATCCTCCAGGGTAGCTCGGCGGAGAGGGTTCACCATTAACAGCCACCGGATCAGGCCGCAGGCATCTGGGGGACAAAAGACAGAGGTTTGGGTTTGGCAGCTGAGATAGCCACCCCACAGCCCCCCTCTGCTTGCCCCCATTGGTGCTCAGACATGGCTTATACCTAGGCCAGATCCGCACGTTCCCACCGAGGACCCCATACACACCCTAGGCCATGATGCTCCCTAGGCCAGCTTCCCCGGATGGGTTCTGCCTGTTGCCTCTCCCCTATGACCCCTCGCCAGCCCTTGTTTGTGTTAGTGTGTCTTTTTCTTCTTTCCACTGAAATTCAACTGTCTGAGCTTAAGGACTGTGCTCAAGGGTAAGCTAGGGCTCTCAGATACTTGTTCCTGCCTCAACACCCTATGCACAAGGACAGATTTCTGAAGATGAGGACAAAAGCAACAAGATATGAGACAACTGTAGCAAAGAGGATTGAAGTTGGACCTGAGGAAGGATTTCCCAAGTTGTGATCAATCATTCGACAAGGAAGGAAAAACTATCCCTTCCTTCCTCAGAGGCCTTAGACACAGAGAGACAGTGTAGGTCACTGGAATCTACCATGGGTCATGATGGATGTTGGGCCTCTTTACATCAGTGCCGATGTTCAATCCCTGCCTCAGGACTGGGTGATGCACACCCGAGCCTGTGTTAGTACACCTATGGCTCTCACTCACCAGAGGGCTGAGGCGGCTCCCGATAGGCCCCGTTGCTGATCTGTTTCACCAGCGTCTTGTGATCCTGCCCATCAAAGGGCATGGTGCCATGCACTAGGATGTAGAGGAGGACACCCAGGGACCAGCTGTCCACCTGAAAGAGGGGGAAATCAGCAAGGATGTAGGCATGCCACTGGCCAGAGGACCATGAACATCACTCCCAGTACCAGAGAGGAAAAGGGTACATACTAGAGAACTTGGATGACCTGAGGATGACCTCTCTTGGACCTGGGGGGATAGGGAGGATGCTGAAGAAGGGGCTGAGGCTCATAGGGAGAGTGGTGTCAATCACCACTCTTGGGAGCAGTGGTCAGACCATCCCTTCTGGGTCAGGGTGGGGCACCAGGTCACTCCAGGGAGGCTGGATTGGGTGCCAGAAGGTAAAAAAGTAACAGAAACGAGGAAGGTGAGGGGGCACAGAACTAGAACACTAGCCCATCTATCCCACAGGATGGAAAGTCAGTGTAAATGACAGGACGGTGGGCGGAGGAGGCGTCACTTACCTCTGGGCCCATGTAGGGCTTCCCGTTGACGATCTCAGGTGAGGCATAGAGGGGGCTCCCGCAGAATGTCTGCAGGAACTTGCCTTGGTGGTAGAGGTTGGACAGGCCAAAGTCAGCGATCTGCAGGGTGAGGTCAAACATTGGACATGGGTCATGCCAAGGCCTATGTTGCTCTGCAGCTCTCAGCTGGC